CTAATCTGGTCTCTCAAATTGAGAAACAACAAGACACTCAATTCAGGACAGGTGCCTCTTTCAGAGCAGGGAAATATATGCTGTGCCAGTATATATAGTAAGAGACGTTTATCAAGAGAACCCCTCTTTGTATGATGGAGCTCTTTTTTTCCCACCTCTCTTCACAGGTAGAACAATAAACATACTCTCATGAATATGTTGCTCACTGGAGATGAAGGAAGATGATATTGATAAAGCTAAGGGAGAGGCTCACTATCTTTACTTAGTGGATACTCATATTTTCCAGAAACAAATTCCACCACCCCTATAGAGGAATGTTGCATTTATAGGAGATATATTCAGGAATAATAATGGGGATGCATAAGAAAAAAATTTTAAATAAGACAAAAAACAAAAGCCTCAGAAAGATCCACCAGAATTTGCATATCAGGTTTTCCAGTTATGAACTGAGGCCTATTCTGAGGCCCCTGAAAAATATTCGGACAAATATGACTTTGACTGGGCAAAGTGCTCCAGAAATAAAACATTTTAAAGGTTGGATGAACCTTTTAAAATATGTCCTTCACAAGTTATACTATTTTGATATAACCCAGGCTCCAAAAGGCAAATGTATATTTTGTCCTGATTTGAGGTAACTAAGATACAGAGTATGAAAGAATATAATGCATATGATTGAAACTGATACTTTGGGATCTGATCATTCTTTATACCCCTTATCTATACTCTAGAGGAACAGTGGTTTTTTTACTTACTACTTGTATAATTCTTTAGTGGAGTGTTAACTTGTGATTATAAAGTAAACTGAAATCATGCCAATGTAAAAATTACAATGACTGAGACTGAGGGAGGGAGGGAGAGAAGGATGGGGAAGTATCCTCATGCTCATAAACATGACAATAGGTCTGATCTGATTTCATCATCATTTAAAAAATCATCTATTATTTTTCACTTTATGTTTCTGTGTGGGAGCAAACTGTTGAAATCTTTACTTAATGTATACTAAGCTGATCTTCTGTATATTAAGATAATCGAAAATGAATCTTGATGTGAATGGAAGGGGATATAAAAAAGAATGCCGGTTTTGTTACTATAAGGAATAAGGACATTTACAAAAGGTTTGTCCCAAGTTAATCGTACTTTGGAAATTTATATTCATTAAATAAAAGATTAAAAAAAAAAGGCTCAGTACCCACAATGGTTTAAAAAAACTCTTAAATGAGAAACTAGTGAAGCACCAGAGGTCCCCATATTTTTAGAAAAGCCAATTTGGATTTTCCTATAGGAGCCCTGGGTAAAAAAATGGGACTGGGAAACAAACTGTTTGACTTCTTAGTATACACTGGAGTCTCTTATTTAATGATAAACACTAAACTTGCTCAGAAGATCTTTCAGTCTAATCAAATCCTGGGCCTATCTGGGAAAATACAAAATTGAACATTCTTAGAACCATTAAAATGCAAATTAGGATTGTGCCCTACAACACAGCCTTTTGTATATTCGAGAATACCCTATATCTCTCTCCTAGGCTGAGACCTCTGATTCAAATTTATATATTCAAGTAACTTTTTTTTGACAGGCAGAGTGGATAGTGAGAGAGAGAGACAGAGAGAAAGCTCTTCCTTTGCCATTGGTTCACCCTCCAATGGCCACTGCAGCCGGCGCACCACGCTGATCCAAAGCCAGGAGCCAGGTACTTATCCTGGTCTTCCATGGGGTGCAGGGCCCAAGTACTTGGGCCATCCTCCATTGCACTCCCTGGCCACAGCAGAGAGCTGGCCTGGAAGATGGGCAACCGGGACAGAATCCGGCGCACTGACCAGGACTAGAACCCGGTGTGCTGGCGCCGCAAGGCGGAGGATTAGCCTAGTGAGCCGTGGCGCCGGCTTCAAGTAACTTTTTCATCAAGAGAAGTCAACATTGACACTCAGAACAGGCTTGGAACATTCTGCTGGCCCTCATAGAAATACTTATCAAAGAAGAGAACTTCTTTCCCCAGAAATCTTAGGGGAGATCTAGACAACTCAGGTTGATCTTATTTCATGGACCAGATCTTGACTGAGGCAAGCCTGAAACTCTCCATAGAGATTGGCAGAATCATGGATCATGGTAAATGTCATGCCAGAGATGTGACAGTAACTTTCAAGGAGGCCCTTGAGGTCAGAGTCCTACTACCATGGAATTCAACACAAAAACAAACATTATTGCCCTTACTCAAGCTCTCCCTCTGGCATAAGAGAAACTGGTGAAAGTGTCATCTCAAGGCATGTTTTTGCAGTTTTACATGACCAGAGATAATTTAAAAGGAGAGAATTCGTCACTCAGGGAATAAGAACATAAAACATAACCATGAAATTCTACAACACTTAGAACCTGTTCATAAACCTCTAATGGGAGCAAAAATGCATTATCTGGCCGGTGCCGCAGCTCACTAGGCTAATCTTCCGCCTTGCGGCGCCGGCACACCGGGTTCTAGTCCCGGTCGGGGCGCCGGATTCTGTCCCGATTGCCCCTCTTCCAGGTCAGCTCTCTGCTGTGGCCAGGGAGTGCAGTGGAGGATGGCCCAAGTACTCGGGCCCTGCACCCCATGGGAGACCAGGATAAGTACCCGGCTCATACCATTGGATCAGTGCGGTGCGCCAGCCGCAGCACACCGGCCGCGGCGGCCATTGGAGTGTGAACCAATGGCAAAGGAAGACCTTTCTCTCTGTCTCTCTCTCTCACTATCCACTCTGCCTGTCAAAAAAAAAAATGCATTATCTAGTTCATCCAAAAAGTCCTACATAATCAAGGGAAATCAACTTTCTGACCAATCTGCAAAGAGGGCAGACAAAAGTAGAGACTATCAGGCTGTTTCTAGGGTCCTTTCTCCTGCAAACTAATCGGTTTAGGAACGGATCAAATAACACCTTGAATAAGACAGAGAAAGAGCCAGTAACAGGGTTTTGCTTCCAACCAAAATTCCTCAGGTTTGAAATGCAATGCATAAGGAATTACCTTGATTCTAGAAATGCTGTGCTAAACTATGCTATAGCACATTAGTGAAAATATTCATTATAGGTAAGATGTCCCTTTGCAATGTGTCCAAAATTGAATCATTGTACACAAATTACAAAAGAAAAGCTATGCAGCAGATCATCTAAGGTTATATGACCTGTACCAAAAATCATCCACAGAAAAATGCCAAGCCATCTACCAGCCCAGCTAAAAGGGAGCTCAACATAAGGGTTGCTACTCTACTGAAGATGGGCAGGTTCATCTCACCCAAATGCCCTGAGCTGCAGGGAACGTCTCATACTTACAAGTGTTTCTGGGGATGTTCTCTGGATGGGTAGAGGTCTACCCCACCCAAATAGAAAATGCTTGTGAAGTGGCCAAAATATTTCTCAAGGAAATCATCTTGTAATTAGTGCTACCTAACACATATTCACAGTTATGATGGGGCAGCATTTGTTTCTTTTATAACCTAATGACTATCGAAACCTCTCCATATTAATTGGAAATTATACTTCCATTGGAGGCCCTAGTCCACAGGAAAAATGATACCAATCATATCGTATGTAAAGTCTTATCAAGATGTATGTGAAGAAACTAATTTAAGTTGGGACACGGCACTTCCAGTTGCCTGGCTGTGGATACAGGTGATCTTCCTGAAGTAGGCTTCAATTAAAACACTGCTTGGGATCTGCATCCCATTTCAGGTGCCTTGTTCAAGTCCTAACTCCAACACTTATGATCCAGTTTCCCTCTCATGCACACTCTGTGAGGCAGCAAATGATGTTTCAAGTAAATAGTTCTCTACCATGACATATTTGGAAGACTTTGACTGAATTCCAGATTCCTGGCTTCAGACTGGCCCAGCCCTGGCTGTTGTCGGCATTTGGGAAGTGAACCAGAGGGTGAAACATTGATTCTCCCCATTTCTCTTGGTGTGCTGCATAGAGGTGGCCTCCTAGATTTGGACATGATCTGGAATGGTAGTAAACCAGGAAAGAATATCACCTGTCCCCTGTACACAAAAATAAGGACTTTAAGTAAAACATCCAGGATAGAAACCTACAAAATATTTCATTTCTGGAGAAACACCTATAACCTACTACTGTTGAGGTTGGGAAATTATATACTTAATTAGATTATTATACAGAGATAGGCAGTTTTCATTGAATAGAATTTGACCTAATGAACACGACTATGTAATAATGAGAGGCTAGGGAAGTTCATAACTCCTAAACCCTTATAATGCTTTTTCTTCAGAAAATTCTTCTTAACTGACCAGGACATGCATTGATTCACTCAGTGGTCCATGAGGGCAAAATTTGTGTTTTTACTTGGAGAGAATCCAAATAAAGAAGAAAACACCCAATTCTGGTACAGCAAGAAAGTAAAGAGAGATTTTGCTTTTCAATCAGTACCTTAAATATGTCACCAATTATTTATTCCATTGCTCCCAATTATAATCTACCAATGCACCACTAAATAAACTGAAGAAATAAATATAAATATTTCTTTTTAAAAAGGACTCATTAGTGATTAGATTGGCAAATTGTAACATTTTTTTTTGACAGGCAGAGTGGACAGTGAGAGAGAGATGCAGAGAGAAAGGTCTTCCTTTGCCATTGGTTCACACTCCAATGGCCACCAAGCCCAGCACGGTGTGACCAGCACACCGCGTTGATCCGAAGCCAGGAGCCAGGTGCTTCTCCTGGTCTCCCATGGGGTGCAGGGCCCAAGCACTTGGGCCATCCTCCATTGCACTCCCTGGCCACAGCAGAGAGCTGGCCTGGAAGAGGGGCAACCGGGACAGAATCCGGCGCCCCGACCGACCGGGACTAGAACCCGGTGTGCTGGCGCTGCAAGGCGGAGGATTAGCCTAGTGAGCCACGGCGCCGGCTGTAACATTGTTTTTAATTTTAGATTTCTACCATGGGGGTGCAAATAAAACTTAATTGATTACCTTGTTTTTTAATACACACTGCTTGTATGAAATACTTCTTATTACTTACTTGATAGTAATTGCTTGGCTGCTGCTTTCTGATCTGTATCTAAATGAGAATATAAATAATGCTTTCAAATCAACATTAGCAAATAAAGGGTCATACAGAATGAATATTTTACAATCTTATAACCTGCAATAACTCTTTGCTAACAGTAATGACTATTACTGAATATATATTATTGCTAAATTTGGGTATGCAAATCAGTGAAATTATTGTTTACCAACATACCAAGTCCATAAAGCAGATAAATACCAAACTTCCAACTAGGAAGAGCAAGGATAAGATTGGTTTTTCTCCTTACCACTTCCCAGTACAGAATACATGCTTGCTTTTGAATGTCAGATTCTGGTTTTCATGTTCCAACCTAATGTTTTATCCATTAAGAATCAAATGACTACAGGTTGTGACTTCAGAGCTTCACTGACTTCTACATAAGAAAGAAAAATTGGCTAGCAGATGAAATTCCCTCTTGTATTCCCAGCCAAGCAAAACAGCAAAAAACCAATAAAAACAGCCACTAAAATTCTAAAGAAAAAAGTTATTTCATACAATAGTTTTAAAAAGTAGAAGCTGAAACTGTACAAAGGAATTAAGAACTGAAGGGGTATGAATCTAGGATACATGAAACAATTGAACACATCAGTTTATCAGGAGTTGTGACCTAGAAATCTGGATATGACCTCGTCCTCTAAACCCTGAGACATGAAATGTCACATCACCAATGTAATAGGGGTATAAATTCTGTTATCCCTAGATAGCGTGAGGCAACAAGGAAACTGTTGCACAGGTGTAGGTGGAATAGGAACACTGAGAAATATCAGAATATAGAGAATTTAAATTAGTTCAGGGATATAGATAGAAACAGTACATGGAGAAACAGCAACTATAATCCTGTACCCAAGTATATATTCAGGACACCAATTCATGCTTTCCACGAATACTAGATCTCCAATTGTTATTTAATTGGAAGAGAAACAATGAGACATCATTAGCAATGCAAGATATGTAGAATGCTCATGAGACAATCATTGCTAATTAGGGTTGTCTTAGAAACAAAACACTTCAAAGAGATGATGCCAAACAACAGAGCAAATTAAAGAAGTATAGGAACAGGAAAAGTTGACAAAAGGCTGCTTAGGTTTCTATAGAGGTTAAAATGGCACAGAAGCCATTAAATAAGAAATAAATGACCCAAAAAAAGGCTTTGAACTTTCAATGTTAGGTGAAATCACCAGAATACTAGTTAAACAAACAAAAAGATTTATGAAAGACAAACCAAGACACAGATAATTTCAGAGATATGATACAGAGAATGGGGGAGAAAGAAGAATCAGAACAAGGAAAGAAGGACTGCATTTCCAGAAGATTGGTAGAAAATTCAAGCAGGAAGCAACAGAAACCCTAAACAGCACAGAGACTAAGAAAGCCAATTGGGAAAAGAAAGCTACTCTGGCTCCCTGGTCTGGGGAACTCCACCTCACTGAGAAGAGGTAAGCAGAAAGTTCTGCAACCCCATTACTGCCACAGTCTGGCAGCCAGAAATACAAGACAATTCCATAGTCCTCACGGACTCTAAATCTCAGAAAGCTGACACTGCATGTCTCTGAAAAAGTAAACCACATTTCCTCTGCCTAACAAAGCCCCAGCCCAGAGCCACTAGAGTACAGCTGATACTAAACTCTATTCTCTCTAAGGGACCAGCAGGCATCAGAAGCCCCCAGAGCCACAGAAACTTGCACTGCAAAGAGCAGACCCTTCATCATCCTGAGGCTGTGGGAATGCAGGGCACAGCCCTTGTGCATGATCTAGTGATGTTCCCCTCTTTACTAATTGGGGCTCAGCACCAGAAGCAACTAAAACAGAAACTCACAGTATCAGACCTGGGGAAGTCCCTTTCTGCAGCTCTTTGAACGGGGTACTGTATAGCCAGGGAATGAGTTCCAGTGTCACCCTTGTATACCATATTGCAAAAGCAGTATGCAGAGTTGTATAAGAAGTGCAGAAAAAAGGAAGAAAGGAAGAAAGGAAGAAAGGAAGGAAGGAAGGAAGGAAGGAAGGAAGGAAGGAAGGAAGGAAAGAAGGAAGGGGAGGGGACGAGAGGGGAGAGAAAGAGAGAGAGAAACAAATAAGAAAGAAAAAGAGAGAGAAATTAGAAAGAAAGAAAGAAAGAAAGAAAGAAAGAAAGAAAGAAAGAAAGAAAGAAAGAAAGAAAGAAAGAAAGGAAGGAAGGAAGGAAGGAAGGGGGAGGGGAGGGGAGGGAAAGAGAGAGAGAAACAAATAAGAAAGAAAAAGAGAGAGAGAGAAAGAAAGAAAGAAAGGAAGGAAGGAAGGAAGGAAGGAAGGAAGGAAGGAAGGAAGGAAGGAATAAATAACTCCAATTTTTCTCAATATTTCAAAACAATTGAAATGGAGGGCATACTCCCAAACTCCTTCTTTGAGACCAGCATCACCTTAATTCCTAAACCAGAAATTGTACAACATAGAAGGAGAACAATGTATAAATATACCTGATGAAAATACATGCATTAACAAACTAAAGAACAAAAATCATATGATCATCCCAATAGATTCAGAAAAAGGTTTGATGAAATACATCTTTTCATGATGAAAACCTTAGGCAAACTGGGTACAGAAGTTAACATTCTTCAACATAATCAAGGCAATTTACAACAAACCCACAGCAAGCATCTTACTGAATGGGGAAGTGTTGAAAACATTCTCACTAAGATCTAGAACCAGACAACAATGTCACTCTCATTATTGCTATTAAATATAGTTTTGGAAGTTTATGGCTATTAGGAAGAAAAAGAAATCAAAGGGATACAAATTGGAAAGGAGGAAGTCATGCAGTCCCTATTTGCAGATAACATGATGCTATACATAAGGGCACCACAAGACTCCACTAAGAGACTACTGGAACTCATTAAAGAGTTTGGTAAAGTGACAGGATATAAAATGAACACAGAAAAATCAATAGTCTTTGAATATCCAGAAAATGCCATGGCAGAGAAGGAATTTCTAAGATCAATCCTATTCACAATAGCTACAGTAAATATTAAATACCTTGGCATAAATATAAGCAAGGATGTCAAAGATCTCTACGATGAAAATTATAAAACATTATAAAAAGAAATAGAGGATGCAAAAACTAAAAATTAATTTAAAAATCTTTCATGTTCATGGATTGAAAGAATCAATATCATCAGAATGTCCATACTACCAAGCAATTTACATATTTAATGTGATGGCAATAAAACTACCAATGACAGGGGCCAGCACTGTGGTGCAGTAGGATAAGGCTCCACCTGTGGTGCCAGCATCCCATAATGGCATCCATTCATGTCCCAGCTGCTCATCTTTTGATTCAGCTCTCTGTATATGCCCTGGGAAAGTAGGAGATGATGGCCCAGATGCTTGGGACACTGCACCCAAGTGTGAGACCTGGAAAAAGCTCCTTGGTTCTGGCTTTGGATCTGCCAGGCTCCAGCCATTGTGGCCATTTGGGGAGTGCACCAACCAAATGGAAGACCTCTCTCTTTGTTGTTCCCTCTCTATACTCTGCTTCTCAAATAAATAAATAAATCTTTAAAAATATGAAAGATACTCTACTCAGATCTAAAAAAATGCTAAAAATTTGTATGAAAACATAGGAGACCCCGGATAGCAAAAGCAATCCTACACAACAAAAATGAATCGAGGCATCGCAATTACCAGATTTCAAGACATATTGTAGGCCAGTTATAATCAAAACTGCCTGGTACTGGCAAAAAATAGATTTGTGGACCAATGGAACAGAATAGAGCCTCCAGAAATCAATCCATATAGCTGCAACCACATATTCTTGAGAAAGGAACTAAAATCAATCCATGGAGCAAGGACAGTCTCTTCAACAAATGGTGCTGGGGAAATTGGATCTCCACATGCAAAAATATGAAACAAGATTCCTACCTTAAACCTTACACAAAAATCCACTCAAATTGGTTCAACAAACTAAATCTACAACCTGATACCATCAGATTACTAAAGAACCCTGGGGACACTCTGCAAGACAATAGCATAGGCATAGACTACTTGGGAAATATCCTGGAAGCACAGGCATTCCAAGTCAACATTGACAGATGGGATTATATCAAGCTGAGAAGCTTCTACACTGCAAAAGAAACATTCAGCAAAGTGAAGTGGAACTGACAGAGTAGCAGAAAATATTTGCAATCTGCGCAACTAATAAAGGATTAATATTCAGAATCTATAAAGAATGCAAGAAACTCAACAACAATAAACCATCCAGTAAATAATTGGACAAAGGACTTGAACATGTATTTTTCAAGAAGAAATACAAATGAAAACTATAGTGAGGTTTCATCTCACCCCAGTTAGAATAGCTCTCATACAGAAATCAACAAACAACTACTGGTAAGGTTATGAGATAAAAAGTACTCTAATACACTGTAAGTGGGAATGTAAACTGGTGCAGCCACTGTGGAAGACAGTATGGAGATATCTCAGAGATCTGAATATAGACCAATGATGTGATTCATCTGATTCCCACTCCTGGTATTTTACCCAAATGAAAATAAATCATCATATGACTGAGTGATCTATGTCCTCATGTTTATTACATCTCAATCCACAAGAGCTAATATATATATATATATATATATAAATAAAATCAATGAAGATGTCCATCAATTGAAGGCTAGATAAAGAAATTATGGTATACATACACTATGGAATATTACACAATGATAAAAAATGAAATCCTTCTTTTGCAATAAAATTGATGCAAATGGAAAACATTATAGCTATTAAAATGAATCAGCCCCCAAAAGAAAAATATGACATGTTCTCTGGTCTATCATAACTAGTAGAGAACCTAAAAGGTAATCTGTAGGAATGAAATTGACATGTAGCAATTTGATTATTTTTAACAGAACTTTTCTCAACTGTTGAGGAAAAGTGTTTTTTTTCTTCTATTTGTGGAACACTTTACTTAGCGTAGGGTTAATATTATGAGTATAAAGTTAATTGAAAATAGGTCTTTGTAAAAACTAAGAATGGGAGTAAGAGAGGGATGAGGAAGATTGGTGTGAGCAAGGGCAGGAGGGAGGGTAGGATGGAAAGTGTCACTTTTTGAATATGTATAAGGGAAATACATGTAATTGGTAGACATTAAATACATTTTTAAAAATAAAAATATAAATACGCATCTCATTTGAAAATGCTTTTTAAAATCATGATATTGAATCAGTAAAATACATACATGCTGATGGAAAATTTCCCAACTCTACTTTTTACAAAAGTTGTATTGAAGGGCTAAAATTGCTTTGAAGTGTCTCTTTCAGAAGTAGTAATAAAATGTTTGAAAATATAATCTTCCTCTTTACTAAGACTACAAAAATAATCACAAGGAGGCACTTGTGAAACACATACTCCTTCTCTGGGAAAAATAACCATCTCCCTGATATCCCATGAAAATATGTCTTCTCTTTAGCTGAGGGAAGGGTTTGATCTCTCCTTTCCTATGAGTGCCACCAATGTTGAAATGAGGCTGTTACTCTAAATCAGAGTTGCAAGAATATAATAAGCAATCTTTGAAAAAGAATATTTCCTGCCATTTTCACCAAATTGAATGGAACTAGGGGTAAATATATGAAGTGAAATTAGCAAGACACAGAAAGATAAGACCACATGCTCTCATTCATACGTATAAATTTTTAAAAATAAATTAATCTCACAATATTGATGATTAGAGACTGGAAAGAATGTAACAACTTGTATGGAACTTGGGGTAATTATGTTAAGTGAAATTAGCAAGAAACAGAGGGCCGATGCCATGGCTCAGTTGTTTAATCCTCTGCGCTGGCATCCCATATGGGCTCTGGGTTCTAGTCCCGGTTGCTCCTCTTCCATTTCAGCTCTCTGCTGTGGCCCGGGAAGGCAGTGGAGGATGGCCCAAGTGCTTGGGACCCTGCACCCGCATGGGAGACCAGGAAGAAGCACCTGGCTCCTGGCTTTGGATCGGTGCTGCGCCAGCCATGGCAGCCATTTGGGAAGTGAATCAACAGAAGGAAGACCTTTCTCTTTCTCTCTCTCTCTCTCCCCCACTGTTTGTAACTCTACCTGTCAAATAAAAAAAATTAGCAAGAAACAGAAAGATATGGCCACATGTTCTCACTCTCACATAGAAATTTTTAAAAGTATGTTGATCTCACAGTATTGATGATTGGAAACTGGGAAGAATGTAGAAGGGTGTTGGATACTAGGTACCAAGACTACCGTATGGAAGCCATAATTTTTAGTATTCCACAGTGCAGTGGAGTGACTGTAGTTCACAATTATATATTACATAATGAGTTTGGAAGCATCATTTATAAGGAAATGGAAAGTTGATTGTATTAATCAGTATTTTGTTCACATTACACTGAGTACATATGTTTAAATATAGAAACACATTTCATAAAAATGCACCACTTTTAAATGTTAATAAAGAAATATTAATGGGGGAACAATGCAATTTACCATTCTTTTTTGAACAGAACAGTTAGTTTCAATCCATAATTATTAGAGTGATTTACACATCAAGAGTCATGATTTCTGTCACTATCTATCAAATTTCAGTTATTTGCTTGCTTACCCAGGCACTAAAATTGCATAACCCAAGCTGAGTAACTTCTAGGCACTTTATTTTTTTCTTTACTAATTGTACATAATTTATCTCTTATTAGAGTCAGCTATTTTTTCTTCAGATTAGAATTCCATTAAATATTTATTAATGATGAAAGAGCTAATTTGTTAGATTATGTATATTAATAGTCTGGTTTGGGGTGCTTTACCCACTTGAGGTAACTGAAAATATTTAGAAATTAATTGTGAGGGTCAACATTGTACCATAGCAGGTCAAGCCACTGCCTGCAACACCAGCATCCCGTATGAGTGCCAGTTCACATACCAGCCACTCAACTTCTAATCAAGCTTCCCGCTAATGCACCTGGGAAATCAGCATGGGCCCCTGTCAGCCACGTGGGAGACCTTGATGAAGCTCCTGGCTCTTGGCTTCAGCCTAATGCAGCCCCTATCTTTGTGGCTATTTGAGGAATGAATCAGCAAATGTCAGATTCCCTCTCTCTCTTTCTCTCTCTCTCTCTGGAACTCTGCTCTTCAAATAAAAAACCCCAAATCTTAAAAAAATTTAAAGTATGAATTACCAATGGATTCTTAATTTTTTACATGTACAGTAAAAAGATTTTTTAATTTACTTACTGACTGGAGTGTGTCTGAGTGTTACCTTCTGATCTTGATCTACAAAAACAATTGAAAATAATAATGTCTATAGTTAATACTAAGGAAGCTAATCAACATACTCAGTGAAAGTCAGGATATCTTATACACAATATTTTGTCTTATAAGGCATGTTACTGATAAATAAAATAACATCCAGAGGTCAGTGAACAAAGATACAAATGAATAAAATTTTCAGTAGCTCATATACTTCAGTCAAAGTATGTGAATTTCAAATACTGAAGTGAGGGGAGCATCAAGAAAGCAGAGGATTGCATCATTTCCTTATCAATTCTAAACACCAAATGTACATTTGATCCTGATGTCTAATTCTGACCTTTGTACTTCAACTCTAATTTTTTATTCATATTACAGGAATTATTACAATTTGTAAGTTAAAATCTATACTAACTTGTATATAATCTAATAGAGTGAGCTGGCAAAGTAAGTTTCCCTTTCATTCCTTGCACAGAGGAGTAACACAGTGCACTACTTCAAATAAAGGAAAGACTTCATCTAATACCAATAAAAATGATAAGACTAAGCTCAAATGGTAAATGGTACCTAAAGATGAGTGACTTGCAGAAATATCTGAAGCAGTGATATACATTTGGGACTAGGGAATTAACATTTCTGTCTCACAATGGGTTGGGATCCTTGGTATTTGCATGTGGAAAGACCAAGTGCTGTAAATAAACTCTTTAATTAACCTGGACCCAGGAAGAACCATATCACCCATGAAACAGGAATAATGAAAATTTCGACCAGTAGACTTCTAATGCAGCATGGGTATACTTAGATAAAGTTGCATCTCAGAGTAGTGTTATCTCAAGTCACTAAAAACCAAGATCTCAGAACCCAAGTTTATAACACCATGTATATATACTTTATATATTTTTATTTAGGAGAAGCAAAACTAAATATATTATAGATATATATGTCACAGTACATGCAGAATTTTCATGGGAAAACTCATAGGGAAGACAATAGAGTATACACTTACAAACTACTAAGTATTCATGTCAACACAAGAACAAAACTAATTTATTTTAAAACTACTTTAATGTAACAATATTTATAAGCACTATAGAGTTTTTCAGGAACAGAATCCATAATTTCTGAACAGGAACTTATAGAACAACTTGGGAGATAAAATAGGGATCTGAGTAAATCAAAATGTAAGATAGAGAGAATGAATTCATTAATCTTTTTTTACATATGTTCTCTGGATTTTGTTAGAATCATAGAAGACCTTGATAACTCTATGACTAGTATATATTTTCTTATAATGTCTTCTGAGGTAGAATTTATTTTTTATGTATAAGTAGTTGATACACCTGAAATGCAATTTGATTTAGGTTATGTTGTGGCTTATCTTCAGATATTAGTATTTACTTATTTCTTTTTTTAAGATTTATTTATTTATTTGAAAGTCAGAGTTACACAGAGAGAGAAGGAGAGGCAGAGAGAGAGAAAGATCTTCCATCCGCTGGTTCACTCCCCAATTGGCTGCAATGGCCGCAAATGTGCCGATCTGAAGCCAGGAGCCAGGAGCATCTTCCAGGTCTCCCATGCGCGTGCAGGGTCCCAAGGGCTTGGGCCATCTTCTACTGCTATCCCAGGCCACAGCAGGCAGCTGGATTGGAAGTGGAGCAGCCAGGTCTCGAACTGGCACACATATGGGATGCCAGCACTTCAGGCCAGGGCGTTAACCCACTACGCCACAGCGCCGGCCCCAGTATTTACTTAATTCAACATCATTACTGAATATTTATCTGCAACATTAATATGAGCTGTCTCCATTATCAAATATTACATTTATATGTAAAGATATATACAGGTATATATCTTTTTCTATTCTGTGGCACTGATATGTCTTTCTTTTCATGTATCAATAAAATATGCTTTCATTTTAAAAAATAATATATGAAAGTGAATGCTATAGATTCCTGCTATTGTGTACCCTGTGAGGCTGCAGATAATGGTTCAAGTACATTAGCTTTGCAAAAGAGTTTGGCCATTTCATTAGATGTTAAGCAGACATGTATCATATTATTCAGACATTCTACTCCAAGATTTGAAACAAAAGGGAGAAAACAATATTCACAAATAGACTTTGTTCCTGAAAGTTCATAGTGGCTCTGTTTGTAACAACTAAAATTTAGAAATAGCTTTCAACAGATGAATGGTTTAAAAATATATAGAATATTAATCGAACTGAATAATTCTAAGGAAGACAAAGCAATAAACCACTGGTCTACACAAGAACATGGATAGATCGTAAAATAAGTATAGTGAATGGAAGTCAGTTTGGAGATTGCTCAGAAACCTGAATATAACCCTACCATACAACCCAGCCATCCTACTCCTTGGAATTTACCCAAAGGAAATTAAATTGGCAAATAAAAGAGCCGTCTGCACCTCAGTGTTTATTGCAGCTCAATTCACAATTGCTAAGACCTGGAATCAAGCTAAATGCCTGTCAACAGAAGACTGGATAAAGATATTATGGGATATGTATCCATAAAATACTATATAGCAGTAAAAAAAAAAGAGAAATCCAGTCATTTGAAAAAAATGGAGGAATCTGGAAAACATCATGCTGAGTGAAATAAGCCAGTCCCAAAGGGACAAATATCACATGTTCTCCCAGATCAGTGACAACTAACTGAGCACATAAAAGGAAACCTGTTGAAGTGAAATGGACACTATGAGAAACAATGACTTGATCAGCCTTTCTCCTGACTGTTGAGGGACAACTTACTATTTTATTACGTTTAGTATTTTTTTGTTCTAGTTAATACCATTGATTGAACTCTTTAATTAACACACAATTACTCTTAGTCATTTAACTTTAACTGAAAAGTGATCCCTGTTAAAATATAAGAGTGGTAATAAGAAAGGGAAGAGATGTACAGTTCGGCACATGCTCAATCGGACTTGCCCCAAATGGTAGAGTAGAAACGTGCCAGGGGATTCCAATTCAATCCTATAAAGGTGGCATGTACCTATGCCATCTTACTTGTTAAAGTGATCAGCTTAAGTTCATAATTGATCAAAAGGATAGGATTAAGTGTCAAAAGGATTACATAAATAAGAACAGTGTCTGCAAATAATAATTGATAGAATTAAAAAGGAGAGAATGATCCTACATGGGAAGCAGGATATGCAGCAGACTCATAGAATGGCTGATGTCCTATACAGCACTCTGGCCTCAAAATCAGCCCTTAAGTCATTCGGATCTGGCTGAAAAGCCCATGAGTATTTTGCAGGCATGGAAAGCCAAGACACTCTGGCAAAAAAAAAAATGACCTAAATTTAAGATCTCTGTGAGTGAGATCCCAGCAGGAAGAATTTGTCAGCAAAGAAGGCTGGGATAGGAGGAGAGAACTTCCACTTTGACTATGGCCTTGTCTAAGTAAGATCAGAGTTTGTGAACTCAAGAGGCTTCCATAGCCTTAGCAGCTCATGACAAGAGCCTCACGTGATTACTAATGTCATAAATAAGAGTGTCAATTGTTAAATCAACAATGGGAGTCACTGCGCACCTGGCTCCTCATGTAGGACCTCTGTCCTAAATGTGTTGTACAATGCAAATTAATGGTAAAACTACTACTAAAACAGTACTCTATACTTTGTGTGTTTTTGTGGGTATAGTCTGTTGAAATATTTACTTAGTATATACTAAGTTGATCTTCTGTATATAAAGATAATTGAAAATGAATAGTGATAAAGAATGGGACGGAAGAGGGAGTGGGAGATGGGATAGTTGCGGGTAGGAGGGAGGTTATGGGGGAAAAGCCGCTATAATTCAAAAGTTGTACTTTGGAAATTTATATTTATTAAATAAAGTTTAAAAAATTAGTGAGTGAAATAAATCAGACAAAAATAAAAGAATAAATATTATGTCACATTTATATTAAATGGAATAGAAAATGGAATGTAAAACGTGATGATTGTGGGGAGCAACTCGGACTAGACTGTTACTGGAATTAAGACTTATTCTATGCATCAGGGAGATTTTAAAAGGAAAAAAGGAAATTTTTTTAAAAATATATTTATTTATTAGAGAGAGAGATTTATTCACAGAGAGAAACAGACAGACAGAGACAGAGTTAAAGGTCTTCTATTCACTAGTTCACTCCCCAAATTACAGTAATGGCCAGAGCTAGGTTGGTCCAAAGCCAAGAGCCATGAACTTCTTCCATATCTCCCATGCAGGTGCAGGGGCCCAAGCAATTGGGCCATCTGCTACTGCTTTCTCAGGCCATTAGCAGAAAGCTTAATCAGAAAAATAGCAGTCAGGACACAAACAAAAAGCCCGGGGAGCTAAAGGCGAAAATCTGGAACCAGAGGCAGAGACGTGGGCCACCAGGTTGGAATTCGCCAGGTTAGCCCGGGGAACTTGGACTGAATGCCAGTGGCGGAAACGTGACCTGGGCTGTGTGACTCGCGGAAGCCGCCGCACGCAGAGAGAGCGTGCGGGGCACAAGTGGGGAGAGCGCACGGGGCGCGGATAGATAGGGAACGTGGGGCTAGAGCGAAGGCCGTGGTGCGGGCGCGAAGGCCGTGGAGACCGCGGAGCGCGCGAAGCCGAGCCGCGCAGAGCCGGGAACCCGCTGCAGGGCAGGCGCCGGGAAGCCGCGGAGATAAGAGAAACAGAAGTTTAGAAGTAAAATGAGAGAAATAGGAATGCTGGTAGATAGAAGTAAAATAGGAGAAATAGGAATGCCCGGAGATAGAGAAATAGAGAAAAATAAGGCCTCCCCACAACACGGCAATGAGAGAGCTTGGATTCAGTCTGCCTGATTAGTAAGACGATGAGCACCTGTGGGCAGCTAGCAGTTTGTGCGCCGCAGGTCACCGAAGACAGGCACGAATTAACATCAATAAGTCTCCCCACAATAGGGCAATGAGAAGGCTTGGATTTGGTTTGCCTGATAGGGCTTGTAAGCACCTGCAGGCAGTTCTAGCAGAGCAGAGCATGCGCTGCAGGGCACCGAACTCAGGCACGCATCGGC